TGCAGTAGTGAAAGTATCAAGTCGAGATTTATGAATCCCTGCAGTAGTGAAATCATCAAGTCGAGATTCATGAATCCCTGCAGTAGTGAAAGTATCAAGTCGAGATTTATGAATCCCTGCAGTAGTGAAAGTATCAAGTCGAGATTTATGAATCCCTGCAGTAGTGAAATCATCAAGTCGAGATTAATGAATCCCTGCAGTAGTGAAAGTATCAAGTCGAGATTTATGAATCCCTGCAGTAGTGAAAGTATCACGTCGAGATTTATGAATCCCTGCAGTAGTGAAAGTATCAAGTTGAGCTTTATGAATCCCTTCAGTAGTGAAAGCATCAAGTCGAGATTTATGAATCCCTGCAGTAGTGAAAGCATCAAGTTGAGATTCATGAATCTCTGCAGTAGTGAAAGTATCAAGTCGAGATTTATGAATCCCTGCAGTAGTGAAATCTTCAAGGCGAGATTTTTGAATCCCTGCAGTAGTGAAAGTATCAAGTCGAGATTCATGAATCCCTGCAGTAGTGAAAGTATCAAGACGAGATTTATGAATCCCTTCAGTAGTGAAAGCATCAAGATGAGATTTATGAATCCCTGCAGTAGTGAAAGTATCAAGTTGAGATTCATGAATCCCTGCAGTTGTGAAAGTATCAAGTCGAGATTTATGAATCCCTGCAGTAGTGAAAGCATCAAGTCGAGATTTATGAATCCCAGCAGTAGTGAAAGCATCAAGTCGAGATTTATGAATCCCTGCAGTAGTGAAAGTATCAAGTCGAGATTTATTAATCCCTGCGGTAGTGAAAGCATCAAGTCGAGATTTATGAATCCCTGCAGTAGTGAAAGTATCAAGTCGAGATTTATGAATCCCAGCAGTAGTGAAAGCATCAAGTCGAGATTTATGAATCCCTGCAGTAGTGAAAGTATCAAGTCGAGATTTATTAATCCCTGCGGTAGTGAAAGCATCAAGTCGAGATTTATGAATCCCTGCAGTAGTGAAAGTATCAAGTCGAGATTTATGAATCCCAGCAGTAGTGAAAGTATCAAGTCGAGATTTATGAATCCCTGCAGTAGTGAAAGTATCAAGTCGAGATTCATGAATCCCTGCAGTAGTGAAAGCATCAAGTCGAGATTTATGAATCCCTGCAGTAGTGAAAGCATCAAGTCGAGATTTATGAATCCTTGCAGTAGTGAAAGTATCAAGTCGAGATTTATGAATCCCTGCAGTAGTGAAAGCTTCATGTCGAGATTTATGAATCCCTGGAGTAGTGAAAGTATCAAGTCGAGATTCATGAATCCCTGCAGTAGTGAAAGTATCAAGTTGAGCTTCATGAATCCCTTCAGTAGTGAAAGTATCAAGTCGAGATTTATGAATCCCTGCAGTAGTGAAAGTATCAAGTTGAGATTCATGAATCCCTGCAGTTGTGAAAGTATCAAGTCGAGATTTATGAATCCCTGCAGTAGTGAAAGCATCAAGTCGAGATTTATGAATCCCAGCAGTAGTGAAATCTTCACGTCGAGATTCATGAATCCCTGCAGTAGTGAAAGTATCAAGTCGAGATTTATGAATCCCTGCAGTAGTGAAATCTTCAAGGCGAGATTTATGAATCCCTGCAGTAGTGAAAGTATCAAGTCGAGATTTATGAATCCCTGCAGTAGTGAAAGTATCACGTCGAGATTTATAAATCCCTTCAGTAGTGAAAGTATCAAGATGAGATTTATGAATCCCTTCAGTAGTGAAAGCATCAAGTCGAGATTTATGAATCCCTGCAGTAGTGAAAGTATCAAGTCAAGATTTATGAATCCCTGCAGTAGTGAAAGTATCAAGTCGAGATTTATGAATCCCTGCAGTAGTGAAAGCATCAAGTCGAGATTTATGAATCCCAGCAGTAGTGAAATCTTCACGTCGAGATTCATGAATCCCTGCAGTAGTGAAAGTATCAAGTCGAGATTTATGAATCCCTGCAGTAGTGAAATCTTCAAGGCGAGATTTATGAATCCCTGCAGTAGTGAAAGTATCAAGTCGAGATTTATGAATCCCTGCAGTAGTGAAAGTATCACGTCGAGATTTATAAATCCCTTCAGTAGTGAAAGCATCAAGTCGAGATTTATGAATCCCTGCAGTAGTGAAAGTATCAAGACGAGATTTATGAATCCCTGCAGTAGTGAAAGTATCAAGTTGAGATTCATGAATCCCTGCAGTAGTGAAAGTATCAAGTCGAGATTTATGAATCCCTGCAGTAGTGAAAGTATCAAGTCGAGATTCATGAATCCCTTCAGTAGTGAAAGTATCACGTCGAGATTTATGAATCCCTGCAGTAGTGAAAGCATCAAGTCGAGATTTATGAATCCCTGCAGTAGTGAAAGTATCAAGTCGAGATTTATGAATCCCTGCAGTTGTGAAAGTATCAAGACGAGATTTATGAATCCCTGCAGTAGTGAAAGCATCAAGTCGAGATTTATGAATCCCTGCAGTAGTGAAATCTTCAAGTCGAGATTTTTGAATCCCTGCAGTAGTGAAAGTATCAAGTCGAGATTTATGAAACCCTGCAGTAGTGAAAGTATCAAGTTGAGATTTATGAATCGCTGCAGTAGTGAAGGTATCAAGTCGAGATTTATGAATCCCTGCAATAGTGAAAGCATCACGACGAGATTCATGAATCCCTGCAGTAGTGAAAGTGTCACGACGAGATTTATGAATCCCTGCAGTAGTGAAAGTATCAAGTCGAGATTTATGAATCCCTTCAGTAATGAAAGTATCAAGTCGAGATTTATGAATCCCTGCAGTAGTGAAAGCATCAAGTCGAGATTTATGAATCCCTGCAGTAGTGAAAGTATCAAGTCGAGATTTATGAATCCCTGCAGTAGTGAAAGCATCAAGTCGAGATTTATGAATCCCTGCAGTAGTGAAAGTATCAAGTCGAGATTTATGAATCCCTTCAGTAGTGAAAGCATCAAGTTGAGATTTATGAATCCCTGCAGTAGTGAAAGTATCAAGTCGAGATTTATGAATCCCTGCAGTAGTGAAAGTATCAAGTCGAGATTCATGAATCCCTGCAGTAGTGAAAGCATCAAGTCGAGATTTATGAATCCCTGCAGAAGTGAAAGTATCAAGACGAGATTAATGAATCCCTGCGGTAGTGAAATCATCAAGTTGAGATTCATGAATCCCTGCAGTAGTGAAATCATCAAGTTGAGATTCATGAATCCCTGCAGTAGTGAAATCATCAAGACGAGATTTATGAATCCCTGCAGTAGTGAAAGTATCAAGTTGAGATTTATGAATCCCTGCAGTAGTGAAAGCATCAAGTCGAGATTTATGAATCCCTGCAGTAGTGAAAGTATCAAGACGAGATTAATGAATCCCTGCGGTAGTGAAATCATCAAGTTGAGATTCATGAATCCCTGCAGTAGTGAAATCATCAAGTTGAGATTCATGAATCCCTGCAGTAGTGAAATCATCAAGACGAGATTTATGAATCCCTGCAGTAGTGAAAGTATCAAGTTGAGATTTATGAATCCCTGCAGTAGTGAAAGCATCAAGTCGAGATTTATGAATCCCTACAGTCGCGAGGTAGTCAACATCTCACCCACTCACTCAGTCACCGTCAGGGTCAACATCTCACTCACTCAGTCATCGTCAAGGTCAACATCTCACTCACTCACTCGGACATCGTCAGGGTGAGGGGTGGAACCCACGACCTCCTGCACACCAGGCGAGGTAGTCAACATCTCACCCACTCACTCAGACATCGTCAGGGTCAGGATCGAGCCCACGACCTCCTGCACACCAGGCGAGGTAGTCAACATCTCACCCACTCACTCAGACATCGTCAGGGTGAGGGGTGGAACCCACGACCTCGTGTGTACCAGGCGAGGTAGTCAATATCTCATAGCCATCGTATCGAAGGGTCCATTTTATGTTTTTAATATCAGTTTACAGATACTCAGAGTCTCAATGGGAGAGGTGGTGGATGGAAGTGGAGGATGTTGGGGAGGTGGTGGTGGTAGAGATGGTGAGTGGAGGTGGTGGTTGTGGTGGCGGTGGTGGAGGTGTTGGTGGTGTTGAGTGGAGGTGTTGGTGGTGGTCGTAGTGGTGGTGGTGTACGTGGTGAGTGGAGGTGGTGGTGGTGGTGGTAGTGGTGGTGTTGAGTGGAGGTGGTGGTGTAGGTGGTGGTGTATGTGGTGGTAGTGGTGTAGGTTTTGGTGTAGGTGGTGGTAGTGGTGGTGTTGAGTGGATGTGGTGGTGTAGGTGGTGGTGTAGGTAGTGGTGGTGTAGGTGGTAGTAGTGGTGGTGGTAGTAGTGGTGGTGGTAGTTGTGGTGTTGAGTGGAGGTGGTGGTGGTGGTAGTGGTGGTGAGTGTAGGTGGTGGTAGTGGTGGTGTTGAGTGGATGTGATGGTGTAGGTAGTGGTGGTGGTAGTGGTGGTGGTAGTAGTGGTGGTAGTGGTGGTGTTGAGTGGAGGTGGTAGTGGTGGTGGTAGTGGTGGTGTTGAGTGGAGGTGATGGTGTAGGTAGTGGTGGTGGTAGTGGTGGTGGTAGTGGTGGTGTTGAGTGGAGGTGGCGGTGTAGGTGGTGGTGGTAGTGGTGGTGAGTGTAGGTGGTGGCGGTGGTGTTGGTGTAGAGTGGAGGTGTTGGTGGTGGTAGTAATGGTGGTGGTGTAAGTGGTGAGTGGAGGTGGTGGTGGTGTAGGTGGTGGTAGTGGTGGTGTAGAGTGGAGGTGTTGGTGGTGGTAGTAATGGTGGTGGTGTACGTGGTGAGTGGAGGTGGTGGTGGTGTAGGTGGTGGTAGTGGTGGTGTTGAGTGGAGGTGGCGGTGTAGGTGGTGGTGGTAGTGGTGGTGAGGGTAGGTGGTGGCGGTGGTGGTGGTGGTGTACGTGGTGAGTGGAGGTGGTGGTGGTGTAGGTGGTGGTAGTGGTGGTGTTGAGTGGATGTGATGGTGTAGGTAGTGGTGGTGGTAGTGGTGGTGGTAGTAGTGGTGGTGGTAATGGTGGTGGTGAGTGTAGGTGGTGGCGGTGGTGGTGGCGTTCAGTGTTGAATGGCTGCTGTTGTTGTTGTTGCCGCTGTTGTTGCTGCTGTTGTTGTTGGCGGTGTCAGGCAGCGCGTCTCCAGGATGAGCCTCTTGCTGTCCACGATGTCGCTGAGCCAACGCTCGCGGAACACGGAGCGCCCCGGCCTGCCAAACGAGACGTGCACACAACAACAACAACACAACATCAACAACACAACAACAATAATAACACAACACAACAACACAACACAACAACACGACAACAACAACACAACATCAACAACACAACAACAATAATAACACAACGACACAACAATAACAACACAACAACAACACAACAACAATAATAACACAACACAACAACACGACAACAACAACACAACAACACAACATCGACAACACAACAACAATAATAACACAACACAACAACACAACACAACAACACGACAACAACACAACATCAACAACACAACAACAATAATAACACAACGACACAACAATAACAACACAACAACAACACAACAACAATAATAACACAACACAACAACACGACAACAACAACACAACAACACAACATCGACAACACAACAACAATAATAACACAACAACACGACAATAACAACACAACATCAACACAACAACACAACAACAACACAACAACATCAACACCACAACAACAATAATAACACAACAACACAACAACACAACATAACAACAACACAACATAACAACAACACAACATAACAACAACACAACATCAACACAACAACAACACAACAACAACAACCGGCGTTCGCCGCTAAGTGGCGGTGACGTCGTCACGACGCCTGTACCAGGCTAGGTGCACCTTGAGGCTAACACGTGAAGTGTCGAACGCCCGCCGGCAGGAGGTCACGGGGCAGACCCAGCAGGTACCACGAGTCGACTGACTGAGATGAGTGGCTGATGCACCACCTGTGCCCCCTGCTGTGCCAGGCTAGGTGCACCAGGAGGTCACGGGCCAGACCCAGTGTGTATGGTGTGTGTGTGGTGTGTGTGTGGTGTGTGCATGGTGTGTGTGGTGTGTGTATGGTGTGTGTGTGGTGTGTGTATGGTGTGTGTGTGGTGTGTGTATGGTGTGTGTGTGGTGTGTGTGTGGTGTGTGTATGGTGTGTGTATGGTGTGTGTGTGGTGTGTGTATGGTATGTGTATGGTGTGTGTGTGGTGTGTGTATGGTGTGTGTATGGTGTGTGTGTGGTGTGTGTGGTGTGTGTATGGTGTGTGTGTGGTGTGTGTATGGTGTGTGTATGGTGTGTGTGTGGTGTGTGTGTGGTGTGTGTGTGTGGTGTGTGTGTGTGTGGTGTGTATGGTGTGTGTGTGTGGTGTGTGTGTGGTGTGTGTGTGGTGTGTGTATGGTGTGTGTATGGTGTGTGTATGATGTGTATATGGTGTGTGTATGGTGTGTGTGTGGTGTGTGTGGTGTGTGTATGGTGTGTGTGTGGTGTGGGTGTGTGTGGTGTGTGTATGGTGTGTGTGGTGTGTGTATGGTGCGTGTGTGGTGTGGGTGTGTGTGGTGTGTGTATGGTGTGTGTATGGTGTGTGTGTGGTGTGTGTATGATTTGTGTATGGTGTGTGTGTATGGTGTGTGTGTGGTGTGTGTATGGTGTGTGTATGGTGTGTGTGTGTGGTGTGTGTGGTGTGTGTGGTGTGTGTGTGGTGTGTGTATGGAATGTGTGTGTGTGGTGTGCGTGTGTGGTGTGTGTGTGGTGTGTGTGGTGTGTGTGTGGTGTGTGTGTGGTGTGTGTGGTGTGTGTATGGTGTGTGTGGTGTGTGTATGGTGTGTGTATGGTGTGTGTGTGGTGTGTGTATGGTGTGTGTGTGGTGTGTGTGTGTGGTGTGTGTGTGTGGTGTGTGTATGGTGTGTGTGTGTGGTGTGTGTGTATGGTGTGTGTGTGTGGTGTGTGTATGGTGTGTGTGTGTGGTGTGTGTGTGTGTGGTGTGTGTGTGGTATGTGTGTTGTGTGTATGGTGTGTGTGTGTGGTGTGTGTATGGTGTGTGTATGGTGTGTGTATGATGTGTATATGGTGTGTGTGGTGTGTGTGTGGTGTGTGTGTGGTGTGTGTATGGTGTGTGTGTGTGGTGTGTGTGTGGTGTGTGTGTATGGTGTGTGTGTGTGGTGTGTGTATGGTGTGTGTGTGTATGGTGTGTGTATGGTGTGTGTGTGGTGTGTGTATGGTGTGTGTGTGGTGTGTGTGGTGTGTGTGTGGTGTGTGTATGGTGTGTGTGTGTGGTGTGTGTGTGGTGTGTGTGTGTGGTGTGTGTGTGTGGTGTGTGGTGTGTGTATAGTGTAGTGTATAATGTAGTGTATAGTGTAGTGTATAGTGTATAGCAGTGTAGTGTATAGTGTAGTGTATAGTGTAGTGTATAGTGTAGTGTATAGCAGTGTGGTGTATCGGAGTGTAGTGTATAGTGTAGTGTATAGTGTAATGTATAGTAGTGTATAGTATAGTGTATAGTATAGTATATAGTGTAGTGTATAGTAGTGTAGTGTATAGTGCAGTGTATAGTGTAGTGTATAGTATAGTGTAGTGTATAGTGTAGTGTATAGCAGTGTAGTGTATAGTGTAGTGTATAGTGTAGTGTATAGTGTAGTGTATAGTGTAGTGTACAGTGTGTAATGTAGTGATCCGAGAGCCCTGACCCTATATCCCTGCCCCTATAGTCCTGACGCTATAGCCGTTAACCTATAGTCTTGACCTATTTCCCTGACCCTATAGCCCTGACCCTATATCCCTGACCCTATATCCCTGACCCTATAGCCCTGACCCTATAGCCCTGACATTATAAACCTGACCCTATAGTCCTGACCCTATAGCCCTGACATTATAAACCTGACCCTATATCCCTGACCCTATAGTCCTGACCCTATAGCCCTGACATTATAAACCTGACCCCATATCCCTGACCCTATAGTCCTGACCATATAGCCGTTAACCTATAGTCTTTGACATATATCCCTGACCCTATAGCCCTGACCATATAGCCCTGACCCCATAGCCCTGACCCTATAGCCCTGACCCTATAGCCCTGAGCCTATAGCCCTGACCCTATAGCCCTGACCCTATAGCCCTGACCCTATAGCCCTGACCCTATAGCCCTGACCCTATAGCCCTGACCCTATAGCCCTGACCCTATAGCCCTGACCCTATAGCCCTGACCCTATAGCCCTGACCCTATAGCCCTGACCCTATAGCCCTGACCCTATAGCCCTGACCCTATAGCCCTGACCCCATAGCCCTGACCCTATAGCCCTGACCCTATAGCCCTGACCCTATAGCCCTGACCCCATAGCCCTGACCCGATAGCCCTGACCCCATAGCCCTGACCCCATAGCCCTGACCCCATAGCCCTGACCCTATAGCCCTGACCCTATAGCCCTGACCCTATAGCCCTGACCCATAGCCCTGACCCCATAGCCCTGACCCTATAGCCCTGACCCTATAGCCCTGACCCTATAGCCCTGACCCTATAGCCCTGACCCTATAGCCCTGACCCTATAGCCCTGACCCTATAGCCCTGACCCTATAGCCCTGACCCTGTAGCCCTGACCCTATAGCCCTGACCCTGTAGCCCTGACCCTATAGCCCTGACCCTATAGCCCTGACCCTATAGCCCTGACCCTATAGCCCTGACCCTATAGCCCTGACCCTATAGCCCTGACCCCATAGCCCTGACCCCATAGCCCTGACCCTATAGCCCTGACCCTATAGCCCTGACCCTATAGCCCTGACCCTATAGCCCTGACCCTATAGCCCTGACCCTATAGCCCTGACCCTATAGCCCTGACCCTATAGCCCTGACCCTATAGCCCTGACCCTATAGCCCTGACCCTATAGCCCTTGCCCTATAGCCCTGACCCTATAGCCCTGACCCTATAGCCCTGACCCTATAGCCCTGACCCTATAGCCCTGACCCCATAGCCCTGACCCCATAGCCCTGACCCCATAGCCCTGACCCTATAGCCCTGACCCTATAGCCCTGACCCTATAGCCCTGACCCTATAGCCCTGACCCTATAGCCCTGACCCTATAGCCCTGACCCTATAGCCCTGACCCCATAGCCCTGACCCCATAGCCCTGACCCTATAGCCCTGACCCTATAGCGCTGACCCTATAGCCCTGCCCTATAGCCCTGACCCTATAGCCCTGACCCTATAGCCCTGACCCTATAGCCCTGACCCTATAGCCCTGACCCTATAGCCCTGACCCCATAGCCCTGACCCCATAGCCCTGACCCATAGCCCTGACCCCATAGCCCTGACCCTATAGCCCTGACCCTATAGCCCTGACCTATAGCCCTGACCCTATAGCCCTGACCCTATAGCCCTGACCCTACAGCCCTGACCCTATAGCCCTGACCCTATAGCCCTGCCCTATAGCCCTGACCCTATAGCCCTGCCCTATAGCCCTGAGCCTATAGCCCTGACCCTATAGCCCTGACCCTATAGCCCTGACCCTACAGCCCTGACCCTATAGCCCTGACCCTATAGCCCTGACCCCATAGCCCTGACCCTATAGCCCTGACCCTATAGCCCTGACCCTATAGCCCTGACCCTATAGCCCTGACCCTATAGCCCTGACCCTATAGCCCTGACCCTATAGCCCTGACCCTATAGCCCTGCCCTATAGCCCTGACCCTATAGCCCTGACCCTATAGCCCTGACCCTATAGCCATGACCCTATAGCCCTGACCCTATAGCCCTGACCCTATAGCCCTGCCCTATAGCCCTGACCCTATAGCCCTGACCCTATAGCCCTGACCCTATAGTCCTGACCCTATAGCCCTGACCCTATAGCCCTGACCCTATAGCCCTGACCCTATAGCCCTGACCCTATAGCCCTGACCCCATAGCCCTGACCCCATAGCCCTGACCCTATAGCCCTGACCCTATAGCCCTGACCCTATAGCCCTGCCCTATAGCCCTGACCCTATAGCCCTGACCCTATAGCCCTGACCCTATAGCCCTGACCCTATAGCCCTGACCCTATAGCCCTGACCCCATAGCCCTGACCCCATAGCCCTGACCCCATAGCCCTGACCCCATAGCCCTGACCCTATAGCCCTGACCCTATAGCCCTGACCTATAGCCCTGACCCTATAGCCCTGACCCTATAGCCCTGACCCTATAGCCCTGACCCTACAGCCCTGACCCTATAGCCCTGACCCTATAGCCCTGCCCTATAGCCCTGACCCTATAGCCCTGCCCTATAGCCCTGACCCTATAGCCCTGACCCTATAGCCCTGACCCAATAGCCCTGACCCTACAGCCCTGACCCTATAGCCCTGACCCTATAGCCCTGACCCTATAGCCCTGACCCTATAGCCCTGACCCTATAGCCCTGACCCTATAGCCCTGACCCTATAGCCCTGACCCTATAGCCCTGACCCTATAGCCCTGACCCTATAGCCCTGACCCTATAGCCCTGACCCTACAGCCCTGACCCTATAGCCCTGACCCTATAGCCCTGACCCTATAGCCCTGACCCTATAGCCCTGACCCTATAGCCCTGACTCCATAGCCCTGACCCTATAGCCCTGACCCCATAGCCCTGACCCCATAGCCCTGACCCTATAGCCCTGACCCCATAGCCCTGACCCCATAGCCCTGACCCTATAGCCCTGACCCCATAGCCCTGACCCCATAGCCCTGACCCCATAGCCCTGACCCTATAGGCAAGGAACCGGCCACTTCACCGGATTGGCCCCTTCAGGCCGGCGGCCATTGTGACGCTCCACCCCCACCACTCGCCCCACCACTCGCCCCACCACTCGCCCCACCACTCGCCCCACCACTCGCCCCACCACTCCACCACTCGCCCCACCACTCCGCCCACTAGCCTACCCCACCACCACTCCCCCCACCACTCCAACCACTAGCCCTACCCCCCCACTAGCCCTACCCCCCCACTAGCCCTACCCCCCCACCACTCCCCCCACTAGCCCTACCCCCCCCACTAAACCTACCCCCCCACTAGCCCTACCCCCCCACCACTCCCCCCACTAGCCCTACCCCCCCACTAGCCCTACCCCCCCACCACTCCACCCACTAGCCCTACCCCCCCACTAGCCCTACCCCCCCACTAGCCCTACCCACCCACTAGCCCTACCCCCCCACTAGCCCTACCCCCCACTAGCCCTACCCCCCACCCAGCCGGGCCTCACCTGTGGATGAGGCCGCTGCCCTCGAAGGTGAAGGAGACCTCAACAGGGGAGTCCTGGCAGGAAGTCGCACATAGACAAATCTCACACCCACATAGACAAATCTCACACCCACATAGCCAAATCTCACACCCACATAGACAAATCTCACACCCACATAGACAAATCTCACAACCACATAGACAAATCTCACAGCCACGTTAGACAAATCTCACACCCACATAGAAAAATCTCACAACCACATAGACAAATCTCACAACCACATAGACAAATCTCACACCCACATAGAAAAATCTCACAACCACATAGACAAATCTCACACCCACATAGACAAATCTCACACCCACATAGACAAATCTCCACCCACATAGACAAATCTCACAACCACATAGACAAATCTCACAGCCACGTTAGACAAATCTCACACCCACATAGACAAATCTCACACCCACATAGACAAATCTCACAACCACATAGACAAATCTCACAGCCACGTTAGACAAATCTCACACCCACATAGACAAATCTCACACCCACATAGACAAATCTCACAACCACATAGACAAATCTCACACCCACATAGCCAAATCTCACACCCACGTTAGACAAAGCTCACCCACGTTAGACAAATCTCACACCCACGTTAGACAAATCTCACAACCACATAGACAAATCTCACACCCACATAGACAAATCTCACCCACGTTAGACAAATCTCACAACCACATAGACAAATCTCACACCCACCTTAGACAAATCTCACAGCCACGTTAGACAAATCTCACACCCACGTTAGACAAATCTCACGTCCACGATAGACAAATCTCACACCCACATAGACAAATCTCACAGCCACGTTAGACAAATCTCACAGCCACGTTAGACAAATCTCACGTCCACGATAGACAAATCTCACACCCACCTTAGACAAATCTCACAGCCACGTTAGACAAATCTCACACCCACGATAGACAAATCTCACAACCATATAGACAAATCTCACACCCACGATAGACAAATCTCACAGCCACGTTAGACAAATCTCACACCCACATAGACAAATCTCAAAACCACATAGACAAATCTCACACCCACCTTAGACAAATCTCACACCCACGTTAGACAAATCTCACACCCACCTTAGACAAATCTCACACCCACGTTAGACAAATCTCACACCCACCTTAGACAAATCTCGCACCCACGTTAGACAAATCTCACACCCACGTTAGACAAATCTCACACCCACCTTAGACAAATCTCACAACCACATAGACAAATCTCACAACCACATAGACAAATCTCACACCCACCTTAGACAAATCTCACAGCCACGTTAGACAAATCTCACAGCCACGTTAGACAAATCTCACACCCACGTTAGACAAATCTCACACCCACGATAGACAAATCTCACACCCATGTTAGACAGATCTCACACCCACGTTAGACAAATCTCACACCCAGGTTAGACAAATCTCACACGCACGTTAGACAAATCTCACAGCCACGTTAGACAAATCTCACACCCACATTAGACAAATCTCACACCCACGTTAGACAAATCTCACGCCCAGATTAGACAAATCTCACGCCCACGTTAGACAAATCTCACGCCCACGTTAGACAAATCTCACACCCACGTTAGACAAATCTCACACCCCAGTTAGACAAATCTCACACCCACGATAGACAAATTTCACACACACGATAGACAAATCTCACACCCACGTTAGACAAATCTCACACCCACCTTAGACAAATCTCGCACCCACGTTAGACAAATCTCACACCCACGTTAGACAAATCTCACACCCACCTTAGACAAATCTCACAACCACATAGACAAATCTCACAACCACATAGACAAATCTCACACCCACCTTAGACAAATCTCACAGCCACGTTAGACAAATCTCACACCCACGTTAGACAAATCTCACACCCACGTTAGACAAATCTCACACCCACGATAGACAAATCTCACACCCATGTTAGACAGATCTCACACCCACGTTAGACAAATCTCACACCCAGGTTAGACAAATCTCACACCCACGTTAGACAAATCTCACAGCCACGTTAGACAAATCTCACACCCACATTAGACAAATCTCACACCCACGTTAGACAAATCTCACGCCCAGATTAGACAAATCTCACGCCCACGTTAGACAAATCTCACGCCCACGTTAGACAAATCTCACACCCACGTTAGACAAATCTCACACCCCAGTTAGACAAATCTCACACCCACGATAGACAAATTTCACACACACGATAGACAAATCTCACACCCACGATAGACAAATCTCACACCCACGTTAGACAAATCTCACACCCACGTTAGACAAATTTCACACACACGATAGACAAATCTCACACCCACGATAGACAAATCTCACACCCACCTTAGACAAATCTCACACCCACGTTAGACAAATCTCACACCCACGATAGACAAATCTCACACCCACGTTAGTCAAATCTCACACCCACGTTAGACAAATCTCACACCCACGATAGACAAATCTCACACCCAAGTTAGACAAATCTCACACCCACGTTAGACAAATCTCACACCCACCTTAGAGAAATCTCACAGCCACGTTAGATGAATCTCACACCCACGATAGACAAATCTCACACCCACGTTAGACAAATCTCACACCCACGTTAGACAAATCTCACACCCACGTTAGACAAATCTCACACCCACGTTAGACAAATCTCACACCCACGATAGACAAATTTCACACACACGATAGACAAATCTCACACCCACGATAGACAAATCTCACACCCACGTTAGACAAATCTCACACCCACGTTAGACAAATTTCACACACACGATAGACAAATCTCACACCCACGATAGACAAATCTCACACCCACCTTAGACAAATCTCACACCCACGTTAGACAAATCTCACACCCACGATAGACAAATCTCACACCCACGATAGACAAATCTCACACCCAAGTTAGACAAATCTCACCCACGTTAGACAAATCTCACACCCACGTTAGACAAATCTCACACCCACGTTAGACAAATCTCACACCCACGATAGACAAATCTCACACCCACGTTAGACAAATCTCACACCCACGATAGACAAATCTCACGCCCACGATAGACAAATCTCACACCCACGTTAGACAAATCTCACACCCATCTTAGACAAATCTCACACCCAGGATAGACAAATCTCACACCCACGTTAGACAAATCTCACACCCATCTTAGACAAATCTCACACCCAGGATAGACAAATCTCACACCCACGATAGACAAATCTCACACCCACGTTAGACAAATCTCACACCCACGTTAGACAAATTTCACACACACGATAGACAAATCTCACACCCACGATAGACAAATCTCACACCCACCTTAGACAAATCTCACACCCACGTTAGACAAATCTCACACCCACGATAGACAAATCTCACACCCACGTTAGTCAAATCTCACACCCACGTTAGACAAATCTCACACCCACGATAGACAAATCTCACACCCAAGTTAGACAAATCTCACACCCACGTTAGACAAATCTCACACCCACCTTAGAGAAATCTCACAGCCACGTTAGATGAATCTCACACCCACGATAGACAAATCTCACACCCACGTTAGACAAATCTCACACCCACGTTAGACAAATCTCACACCCACGTTAGACAAATCTCACACCCACGTTAGACAAATCTCACACCCACGATAGACAAATTTCACACACACGATAGACAAATCTCACACCCACGATAGACAAATCTCACACCCACGTTAGACAAATCTCACACCCACGTTAGACAAATATCACACACACGATAGACAAATCTCACACCCACGATAGACAAATCTCACACCCACCTTAGACAAATCTCACACCCACGTTAGACAAATCTCACACCCACGATAGACAAATCTCACACCCACGATAGACAAATCTCACACCCAAGTTAGACAAATCTCACCCACGTTAGACAAATCTCACACCCACGTTAGACAAATCTCACACCCACGTTAGACAAATCTCACACCCACGATAGACAAATCTCACACCCACGTTAGACAAATCTCACACCCACGATAGACAAATCTCACGCCCACGATAGACAAATCTCACACCCACGTTAGACAAATCTCACACCCATCTTAGACAAATCTCACACCCAGGATAGACAAATCTCACACCCACGTTAGACAAATCTCACACCCATCTTAGACAAATCTCACACCCAGGATAGACAAATCTCACACCCACGATAGACAAATCTCACACCCACGTTAGACAAATCTCACACCCACGACAGACAAATCTCACCCACGATAGACAAATCTCACGCCCACGTTAGATAAATCTCACGCACGATAGACAAATCTCACGCACAATAGACAAATCTCACGCCCACGGTAGACAAATCTCACACCCACGATAGACAAATCTCACCCACGATAGACAAATCTCACACCCACGATAGACAAATCTCACCCACGATAGACAAATCTCAACCACGATAGACAAATCTCACACCCACGACAGACAAATCTCACACCCACGATAGACAAATCTCACACCCACGATAGACAAATCTCACACCCACGATAGAAAAATCTCACACCCACGATAGACAAATCTCACCCACGTTAGACAAATCTCACACCCACGATAGACAAATCTCACCCACGATAGACAAATCTCACGCCCACGTTAGACAAATCTCACCCACGATAGACAAATCTCACGTCCACGTTAGACAAATCTCACGCCCACAATAGCCAAATCTCACGCCCACGACAGACAAATCTCACCCACGATAGACAAATCTCACGTCCACGTTAGACAAATCTCACACCCACGATAGACAAATCTCACACCCATGATAGACAAATCTCACGCCCACGATAGACAAATCTCACACCCACGATAGAAAATCTCACACCCACGATAGACAAATCTCACACCCACGTTAGACAAATCTCACCCACGTTAGACACATCTCACGCCCACGATAGACAAATCTCACCCACGATAGACAAATC